TTTATAATAGCTCTGAACCCTCACAAGCTTCCAAGAGGCCAGGTCAAGAATGTTATAGAAACTATCCCTTTTCCCCTTCTGACATGGGCTCTGCACTTTGGAAGGGAAGAGGACAGAGGCAAGGCATCCCATCAGGCCTGAACTCTGCAACTGGGGGTGAAGGGCACCAGGATAGATGGAGCCTCCTTCCTGGCCTGGGACCCTGCCCCTTCCCACCCCAGGGTCTTCAGTACTCCCAGGTGAAGCCGCCTTCTACCCTGGGGTGTGTGTGTGTGGGGGGGGGGCACAGCCAAGGGTGGGGGCTGTCGCCACGCCACGTCTGGCTAAGCTGAGGAGTGGGGGTGGAGCAGGGGCATGGAGGGGTTCCTCTGGCTTAGGTAGCTTCTAGGTCTCAGACTCCTCTTTAGTCTGGAGTCAGTGGCAGGAACCGAGCTATGGGGTCCTCAGGGACAGCTCTCCCCTCAGGCCATGCCAGTCAACACGGGCTGGGCCCTGGGAATATGCTAATCAGCCAGCGGGTAGGTCCCAGTTGGGGACAGCACATCTGGAGCCTGGAGTAGCATAGTTGGAAATAGACTGAGATAAACATATGGAAGTCCCCTGGGGCCAGGGAGCCAAGGCAGACAAAGGGGGGCCTCCTGGCTGAGAGGTTCCTCGGTCAGGCGGGGGTGGGTCCGCAAGGAGGAGGCAGGCAGTGGGGGTGGCCTGGACAGAGAATCTGGACATACTGGCCTCTTGGGTCTGGGGAACAAAGGGAGGGCTCCTGACCGTGGAAGAGGAGAAATGCACTAAACTGGGGGTGGGGGAGGCTCCAGGAAATTTGTAGTGACAAAGGGCAGATCCCTGAGGGTCACAGACTGACACCCGCCCCATCTAAGAGCATTTTCTTTCATTCATTTGCCCAGCAGCTGACCAAGCATGACCAACCTGGGACTGGGTCCCTGAATTTGGAGCCCCTGCTCGACCACTGTGGCTCTGTCACTCACCCTTTCTGGTCTCAGTTTCCTTCTCGGCCCAAAACAGGATTGGATTAAATGCCCCCTAGGAGTCCTCTGGCCTAAAACCCTTCTGATCTCTTCTTTCATTCATTCCTTCAATCTCCCTCTGACTTGTGTTACTCACAATCCCTCCTGCTCGGGGCAGGCGGGTTCTTTAATTTCCTGGGACACTCCCTGCACATCCCTGCCTCCCAGCATGGCCACAAAGGCCCTTTCCCCGGAATGCCCACCCTGCTCCTTTCTGCTGATCCAGAGCCTGCCCACCTTGCTAGAATAACACAGAACCTTAAAATGGCAATTCATGTGCTGGCCATTATGTAAAATGATTTTTATGAAGTATAAGATCTACTTTGGGTAACGTAACAAAAAAGGTAATTATAAAGACTACATACAGCCCCAGAAAAAAGGGAGGTAATGATATTACATGAAAGTAGAAAAAATACAAAATACACACTGTGATTAAAGCTATATAAAAATTTCTATGCCTGCGGAAGGGAAAAGGCACAAAGTCGAATGGCTGTTTCAGAGGAGTGGGAGGAGGGATGGCTCGTGATTCTGTTTCAAGTCCCTTTACTATTACTGCAATTTTCCTTCTAATATAAACACTGCATTTGGAATTTTAAAAAATCCAGGGCTCTCAAATCCCCCTCACTCCACCTCCTCCTGGGAGCCTCCCTGATTCCGGCGCACGGTGGTCTTTCCTTCTTTGAATTCCTGCTGCACGCTTTTCCATCTTATTCCACAGGGAACAGCGGCAGGCAGGAGAACGTCTGCAGAGGACAGGGCTCCAGCCTGCCTCCAGTTCTGGTTCTGGTCCTGTCTCCCTCCCCACGGGCAGCCTGGCGTTGGACAGGTCACCTACCCCTTTGGTGCCTCAGTCTTCTCATCTTTCCAACTGCGATCGCTTTCCTCTCCCACAGGGTACGTGAAGACCCCTGAGAAAACAGCTTCAAGTGCTGGGTGCTAGCTCTGGGGTGCTATCACCATCATTACTGGCATCTTGTTGTGCTCTCTTGTGGCTTGGCTCTCCGATCTTGAGGCCAGGCCCCTATGGATCTTGGAGCAGCCAGCCCATGGTGGGTACACTGCAGAAGGATGCTAAGTCCCCCACCCCTGGCTCTTGTCTCTGCAGGCATGCTCATTCTGCTTCTTGCCAGGTGCACCAGGCGGTAAGCATCCCCTGCCAATGTAAAAGGACTCCAGACTAAAGAAGGACTAGGCTCACTTTATACCATAAAGTGGGGTGCTGGGGCAGAATATCACCCTGGCTCCTTCTCTGGGCCACTAGCCATGCCAGTGCCCTGGACCCAGCCTGGGAGATTCCTTGATGGAGGCCTGGGGGATAAGGACACGGCACAGAGAGGGCATGGTTGCCCTGCACACGGTCAGCAGAGGCGACGGGCCTCAGTGTCCTCACGGGGAGGATACAATTGTCATTTTCCTCACAGAGCTGTTGCGAGGATCAGAGGAGATCATGTTTGGGAATGTGCCTCCAAGAGCCCAAGGGCTGGACACACATGTTGCTGATCAGTGCTGCCATTTGTCTGCCACTAAATGCTGTCCCGCACCCCCAGCCTGCTGCTCCAGATTCCCTGCCCCCACTGCCACAGCAGGCAAACTCAGAGAGAGACTCGTTTCTGAGCAAACACCTGGAGCTCAGGAAATGGAATCCCTCGCTGTTCTTTGGATGGGCTGAGTAGGAAGGGGCTTAGAAAGAAGGTGGCAGACAGGCATGGGCCTTCTTTCCCCTGCCCCTCCTTCAGGTCACCCAAACATTACCAAAGATGGCCCCTATGGCAAGGCCACCTTTAGCTCCATCCTCAGTGCCCGCCAAAGGGGAGCAGAGCCATGTGCCGGAGGCTGGTGCCAATTCCTTTCCTTGGACACGTGGCATAAAGGGAGGTGGGAGCAAGATGTGGGAACAGGCTGTTCTGTGGCTCCGTGGGGCCTGGCCACATGGGACTGGCTCAGCGCAGGCTTTCCACCCAGCCTGGTGATCCACAGGGGCTCCGTGGGGCATCACGGGGGAGCAGGCTTTATGAGGCATGGCGCACACTGGGCAGGACACCCCCACCCCTCCCTGACCCACAGGCAGGAGGGCAAGGCAGCTCCATAGCTGAGGGCCAAGGGCTGCGCCCTGGGGAGGAGAGGTCTGGGAGACTCCGAAGTCCTCCAGAGAATGCTGGCTCTCAGCTGGCCGCTCATGGGCCCAGGTCAGCTGGCAGCAGGAAGGTTTGTATTTCTTTTAATATCAACTCCCAGGCATTTAACATTCCTCGAAGCTTAAACACAGAAACATTTTCCTTACCAGACTGTGCTTTCTTCTCTGCCAAACATAACCTGGCTTCCTCCCCTTCCCCCAAAGCCTCCATCTGCTCCTGTCTCCAAGATGTAATGATTTATGGTGTGTTTCCCCTGGGGCTTGTGAGGCTGACAGAAACGAGGAGGAGGAGGGAAGCAATGGAGCTGGAAGTCCGGGTGGGGACGGTGCCATGGGGCCCTGGAATCTGGATTCTGGGGAGGGGGGGGGTCAGTTGAGGGGGCTGCCCTGGACACCCTTTTTAACTCTCCCATGCCACGGCCACCAATGGCCCAGGAAGCGTGGCAGTCACTTTCTTGGCTGGGTATCTCCTGGGGCTGAGCGGGCCAGCCCCAAACCCCTTCCCTGCCTGTCCCTCCGGCCAGCCCAGGGATATGGAGACGGGGCCCCCACCCCTTATGCCTGCAGGAAGTAGGTTCTGAATTTACAGCCCTCTCTCTCATCTAAATTAATGAAGGACTGGCTTGTGGTTGCCTGGCAGCCCGGTTTCCCTGGTGACAGTGCTGAAGAGCGGGTCCCACAGCATCAGGAACGGACACGCACAGGAACACGGGGCGACAGGAGGCGGATGGCCGGGCCCCCACCGAATAATGCCATTCCCCTGTTCTAACACTGAGGTGAAATAGGTGGGAGAAGGAAGAGGCCCATATGGGTCCCCAAAGGGCACTACCGCCAAGAACTTTACCCAGCCAAAGCCAGATACCAATCTCTGCAGCCTCAACAGGGCAGCAGAGAACAAACACTTCCTTTGAAAAAGCATCATTCAGCCCCCCCTCCCCCATCACACCTGGGGCAATTAAGCTCAGAGCACCTAATGCCCATGGGCTCTGTCCCAGTGCTAGTTACTGCTTCCCTTGATTTCGTGGTCACAGAATCCACCCCCAACAAGGCCACTTGTGTCCTAAACAGAAGGTGCCAGATGGAGTGTGGATGGCTCCATGCTGAATGTCATCCCTCCAAACCTGCATCCTCTTAATAGGTGAATGAATAGCAGCCATCTTCAAAACTGGCAGAATGTTCCAGAGACACAGGCTGCAAATAAACAAGGCTTTCAAGAAACACAGCTGAGGCACATATACTCTTACCCTGACTCAGGACCTGGCTCTACCAATACCCACAGAACCTACCCGAAGCCAATGAACTCCTGGCATGAGTAAGGCCCAGCAGCCCTAGCAACAAGTCAGAGACCAGCCCCCAGCAAGCCAGCTGGGTCCTAAGCCCTTCCAGCTTAGTGGCAAATGCTCAGGGTCTCACTCCTCCTATGCCAGACATTGCTAATCAAACACAGCATTCATGGATGCAATATAGCCTCAGAATCCTTCTCAGCACAATGTTCCTGGGAAAAGCCGCCAGCAGATCAGAGTGGAGATGTGACAACCAAGGTAGGAGTCATCTCTCCAGCCCACCATGCAGGAGTGTGTGTGATGTACCTGAGCCAGCCGTGAAGCCCGAGGAAGCAGGCACACGTGGGCTTCTGGAGCTAGAACAAGATGCCATCTCCAGCAGGGGAGAACAGCCAGCCACCTTGGGGAACTTTTCTCAAACCAGCTTTAGACCCAAGTCACAAAGGGCCAAGCCCCTTAGCCAAGAGGGCAGGTAGGAAGGACTCCTTCCCAGTGGCACTGCCTCTTGGCAGTGTCCAGAGCCTTGCCTCGGTGCCCTGGCCGCGCCCGAACCCTCACCTGGATCTGTCCTTTGCCCATGATCTTGTCCACGATCTCGTTGTTGTCCTTGTTGACCTTGGTCTTGTCATAGCACTTTTCGTAGCACAGGATCCTCAGGGACTGGGAGCCCTCCAGCTCAATCTCAAACTCCTGGGGAAAGATGGTACCACGATCCTGAAACTCCAAAGCTGAGACACAAAGCTTCCTGGCAGGTGGGGGCCCCAAACTTGCAAGGTGAGAAAGGGGTGAGGGGGGCCCATGAGGAGCACACTGCAAGGCATGGAGGAACTTCCTCTCTTTCTGGAACTCCAGAGGCCTCCAAATTTACTGATGAGGTGGAATTTGGGCCTGAGCTGAAAACCCCATGTCTAGACGTAAACACGGTATCAGACACCAAATGAGCAGGGAGTGGAGAGCAGAGGGGTTGGAGAGAGAGAATTCGCCAAACCAACAGGCTCGGCCACCCCCAGCCACAACAGGAAGTGAGCACGGGGAGTGGGGTGGGCACAGCTGGTGATAAGCTCAGGGGTCCCTGTGGGGACACCAGCCCCCTCCACTCACCTCATCCCATTTGGGCTCTGTCGTGTCCCGGAACACCCTGGTTTTGGCTTTGCTGACAAAATAGCCAAAGGAATCCACCTCCAGGGTGCAGTACAGGTCTGCAGTGGGGACAGGCAGAGACACATCAAAGTGAGGTCTGAGACTCAGGACCTCGGGAGGGAAAGGGGGATAAATACCTCTGTCCCTCCCAGCGTTCCTGCAGGGCAGCCCTCAGTGTTCCCCTTTCCACTTCTCTGCCCTCTTCTTAGCTGGCTCTGCCCCTCCCGCCTCACTCACCACCCTCCAGCTACACTGGCCTCCTCCCTCCAACGTGCCCAGCTGGCCTCACCTGAGGGCCCTTGCACTTGCAGTCCTTCATCCCTGATCCTGGCTTGGCTGCCTCGTCCCCATGAAACCCGTGGCCGAGGTCTTCACTGACCACGCAAACTGAAGAAGCTCCCCTCTCCCCTCCCCCTCCCCGCTGATCCCACGTTCCTCAACAGGGCATCTGGCATTGGAGGTGGGAGGCTCTGGAGGGCATTTGGCCCCTGGGCGCTGTAAATCTGGAGCAACCCCCACTCACTGTGACAAACCCAAAATGCCCCCCGCCTTCCAAAAGCTCGGTTTGTTTTCTTCATAGCACTCGACTTTAACTCAAGTTATCTTTCTGCCCGTCTGTCTCCCCTCACTACATCGACACCACACAGGCAGAAGCCCGGTCCTCCTAGCCACCAGTGTACCCTCGGCACCAAGGACAGGGCCTGCACAGAGTAGGCACACGGTGAGTATTTGCGGGATGAATGAATGAAGCAAGCTTTTACCACCACCGCAAGTGCTTCAGGTGACAAAGTGGTGGACGGCTGGGGTGGGAGGAAGGGGAGTTTTCCCTAGTGTTTCCACCTTGAACTGTGGCCTTTAAGGCTGAAAATCTTCTCCCCTCCACTCCGGGATCCAGCTGATGTGGCCACAACACTGGGTAGCCACCCCAGGCACTCTGCAAATCCACAGACTCCCTCTGGGGCTCAGACCCTGGCACCCCTCCCCCTCCATGGGACCTGTCAAGGTTGTTTCCCAGGGTAAATGGTGCTTTGGAGGTGCTTTGGGGGTATTAGAGCCAATCCTCTGACTTGTGAATCAAGGGGCAGAGGTCAGAGGGTGGACATACATGCCCCTCCCAGGCTCCCGTTAAAGGGCTTTCCTCAGAAAGGAGAGAGGATGGGGCTGCCCCCGAGTTGTCTCTGGCCGGGTGTGATGCAGACCAGATATAGCTGGGTATCAGAGCACACTGGAATGTGGGCACGGATTAAAGCAGGAATCACGATGGTGTCTACATCCCAGGCCTGACAGGGCAGATGTAATGAACTTATTAGGACAAAGAGCCATGGTTGAAGATTCATGGGGCCTAACCCTGTGGACTTAGAGTGAACACGTGAGTGGCTCAGGAGGCCGGTAGAGGGAGGAGGTGGGGACAATCTGGAGGTCAGGAGAGGTTTTGTAGCAGCTCACCTCGTGTCTAACCGCCCTGACCCAGTTTGGGAGGCAGAACGTCTATCTGCCCTTGGAGAGCGGGCCACTCTCCCCCAATGAGCTGGCTCCCAGGGGCCCACGCTAGCAAACAGGGAGCAGAGAGACAGGGTGAGGCACCTGGGCAGTGTGGGTCACAGACTCACATGTATGTAACAGTCCTAAGGAGCTTACTCACTGGGAATATTCCCGGGCAACTTCCCGGACCCTCCCCAGAACCCTGGGGAGTCTGTGTGTCTGGGGAGGGTCCAGGAAGCTGCCATGTGTACAAGCACAGCTTGAGTGATAAGTGACGTGGTCCTGGCCATACTGAGAGAAACCCTTCTCTAAAGCAAAAAGTAGGCGTGTTGCTAAATGGGAATGATATCAGTGACCTCCGAGGGACGTCGAGGATCACAGCAGAAAATCCACTTGAAAGGGCTCTGAACATGCCAAAGCATGTCCACACGCTGGCCACATTGGAGTTTTCTCCAGCATCTAGCAAGGTGCCCAGGCGCGGTAGTAAGCTACCCCATGAACTTCACAGTAAATGTTTATCAAATGGATGGCTGTGAGCCAACGCCACATTTTCTGTGTGATGTGCCACAGGGAGAGAGGCACAGGACAGACCTCCCCACTGCCACAGAGAAAAAGAAGGGGGGGGGCGGGAAGGGGTGGGTGAAGAGGAGAGGAGTCAGGAGCCTTGGGGTTCTGACCCTCTGTGATGTTAAGTCCCTTTAATCTTTCTGTGACTCAGTTTTCTCGTCTGGCAAATGGGGAGAAACATCAGGTGTCTAACTGGCTCACAAATTCCTATGGCGAAAAGTTAGATAAAAAAGTGTAATTGTATTTTGTCCAACACTAAGATCTGCACAGATTTAGTAGATCGTGATAAAGAAGGAAGAAAGGGGATGGGTGTGCCAGTGCATTCACTGTCATATTTAAGCCTGCTCTTAGGTCAGTATTAATGAGGATGTTTGCCTTTTATGGAGAAAGAAGTCTCTCGAGGCTCTGAGAGGTTAAAAGACTTGCCCAAGGTCACATAGCTTATAACTGGCAGAGATGGGGTTAGAGCCCAGGATTTCAGGCACCTAGGGGTTGGGGAGGGCTTAAGAAAGAGCAGATCTTGGAGACACAGGGCAGCCAAGAGGAGCTGGTTCCTGACCGTTAGGGGAATGAATGGCCACCCACCCACATGTCAAGGCAGCTGGCAGGCCCCCAGCGTGGGGCAGGCCAGAGCAGGGTAAGTGGAAAGCGGAAGGCCCCATGCAATGGGTCCACAGGGACTTCTCATGAATGGATGAGCAATGGCTCTCTGCTCTCCCTAGGGCTGGGGTTCAGGGGCACTTACTGGCTGACTGCTTAAACCCCTTGGCAGAGTGGACGATGACATGGAGGAAGCCATAGAGTCCTGGAGACTCATCGTCTGTAAGAGAGGAAAGCCCGCAGGGTAGAGGGTGGTGAGAGGCCTGCTTTAGCCCCTTCTCACCCCAGGCTGGCAGGAAGGCACAGAGGGTGGGAGACAGTTGAAGCCTTGGTCTTACAGCACCACCTGGTGGCTGGATGAAGAAGTTTCCAGAGCCCACAGCTTCCTGGAATGTGAGCTGGTAGCGCTTCTCCCTCTACAGAGCCCGGAAGGCCAATCCGCATCTTCCCTACTGGGCCAGGGATTTCATACTATTCCCCAGGGGCACTTTTCCTCCAGCTCTGAATCCTGCCTATCCCATGGCTGTCCTCCGCAGTGTCGCCTTTCCAAGTGAAAATTAACCACTATAAGTCAGCCTCCTCTTGAGACAGGGGGCAGATGACCCCCATATGGGGAGGACAGTCTGCCTTCAAAACCCCTTCCACAAGGTGTACCCCCTCCCAGCACCCACAAACAACCAGATACCACCCATTCTGGGCCAGCCCGGATCACAGCTCTCTCCTGCTCCAAAACCTCCTGCAGGCTCCACGGCTTGAACAAACGTCTTTGCTTGGCATTCAAGGCCTTCCGAGATCTGGTCCCTGGAAGCTTCTGACATTATTTCTCATACACTAATCCATCTACGCTTTCCCCCTCCACTGCCATCACATCTCATGCTTCAGTCTTTTGCTTCCATTATCTGACTACCTCATGAACATATTAACAACATGATTCCAGTATATGATGGTGCCAGATTCTCCTCTCAAGCCAGAGGGGGCCAGTGATGAATTGAGACCATCTGGGAACTCAGTAGAGAACAACCCCTATTCAAGCTCTCTGTGTACCTGGCAACTGAGTCGTTACAGCCACGTGTCTGGCTAGGTCCTTACGGAAAGTTCCAGCAATGCCCTGGGGGCTAGGACCTGCTGATAAGGCAGGAACCTTGGGTTCCAGATCTTACCGTCTTTATTGCTGGTGACAGGAATGTTGTGTACAGTCCTAAGTTTGAAACAGGATCCCGTGAGCACCTGGAGCTCCACTGAGCTCAGGACAAAGGCCTGGAGATCTGTAGGAGGAGCCAAGAGGAAAATGTCACAGATCCACCAGGACCTGCTGCTCTTCTCTGGGGGCTACTGAAGGAAAAAAGCTTAGCTCTAGGGGCAGAATGGGTCATTGGAAGGGAGGGAAAGACTTGCAGACACTCACATGAGAGCAGTCATAGGTGCTGTCAGCAGGTAGGGATGAGAGAATCCAACTGAAAAGGCTCGAGAATGTGTGTATGAGATAGCGAGAGCAAGAGAAAGAGAGATAGACAAGCCTGGGCTCCGAGTCCAGTCCTGTTGCTGATTCACTGTGTGCCTTAAACAAACCACTTAAGTCCTTTGGGCCTCAAGTGGTCAGTAGCATCAATTAAGTGCCACCTGCTCTGGCACCTTGCAGAGTGACTGTGAGGGCCAAGGAGGAAACCCTGGACATGAAAGTGCATGGAAATGCAAAAGGCCACTGTTGCCATGGATACCATCAGAGCAGTGTAGAGTGGGGCGGGACTTTACCCTTCTTCTGTAGCTTCTGAATTGCTTCTCTCCACTCTGACCTCTCATAGTCCGAGGACAGTAGGAACAGGTAGCTCTGAAGAGAGGAGACGAGAAGTCAATGGGGTGACCATGTGGTCAAGCACATTCCTGGCTCCTTCTTACCCAGGCACCCCTAGGCTTGGAGAAGGTGGCAGCTGGGAGGAGAGTCTCCTTTCCTGGAAGCCCAGTGACAGGAGTGGCAGTGCCAGTGATGGCCAGCAGGGGGCACTGGCTCCATACCAGCTGGGAGTTGTTGCACCTTCCTTGGGAATCCCGCCTAAGTGCCTGACTCCCACCACAGGTCATGGACAGGAGCCCTAGAGAATGGCAGCCCTGGACCAAGGAAGGGGGTTGCTTCTGTCCCATCCCCACCCCTCCCTGACCTTTCCATTCCGATTGTGGATCCGAAATGGGATCGTGGGGGAGTTGAGCAGCAGCAAGAACTCGTTCTCAAACATCTTCTTTTTCAGGCGCTCGATGGCCCGGCTCTGTCCTTTGTTGGCTTTCTGTGGGGGGATGGAGGGCACAGATGGTTTCCCTCACACACTCCACTCTGCACTCAGCATCTCTAAGCACAACACTCCCTTGTGCATTAGTCGTGTCTTTTTCTTTTTTATATTTTATGATGCTTTGACATCTTGGGGGGCCTAGCTGGCCAGGAAGAAAACTACCCCTCCCTTAGAAATCAGGCAAGCTGATCCCTAAGATAGTAAATGACTCCTCTGTGTGCAGACCTTCCATATACAAACCAACCAGCCCTGAGTTCATACCCCCAACACCTCCTTTACCTAACTCTCACTCACCATGCCAATATTCCTCTGCCTTAAATAACCCAGGGCCAGATAGCACACAACTAGAGACCACCCTATAGCCCAGATCCTGCTGACGTTTTTCCAACTCTCAGTCCTAAGGAGTTGCCCCTGCCTTGCTTTCTTTCCCTGTGGGAAACACGATACAGGCCCTGAGCCATGCTCTCCCCAGAGGTCTTCAGCATCCTGACCAAACCTGGTGCTTCCCCTGTGGCCTGTGTGGTATGACATGCCCCCTCCTCTTGGAAGCTCTAGGTCTTAAGAATCTTCTTTTAGTGCCATTAGCCCATCCATGTCATCACTCAGTCATCTCTAGAGATCAGATCCTGGGCACCATCAAGATACTCTGCTTAAGGGGCATCTGGGTGGCTCAGTCGGTTGGGCGTCCAACTTCGGCTCAGGTCATGATCTCATGGCTCATGGGTTCAAGCCCTGCTTCGGGCTTTGTGCTGACAGCTCAGAGCCTGGAGCCTGCTTCGCATTCTGTGTCTCCCTCTCTCTCTGCCCCTCCCCTGCTCATGCTCTGTCTCTCAAAAACAAACCTTAAAAAAAAAAAAAAAGATACCCTGCTTAAAAACTTCAGACACCTTTCAGCAAAAAGCCCCAACTGGTGGACTGGCACTCAGGGCCTCCCGGGGCTGGGCTCTGGCCTCCATGCGCAGCTGAATATCCCACCACACCCCACCCTGCACCCCCCACCTCAGCTGCACGGTATTATTATTCCCTATTCTTTAACAAGCCATTATGTCTCAGCCCATGCTCTCTCCTCCAGCTTTTCAAGTTTGTATTTCATGAAGGATCCCTTCCGTCTTATTAGCTGTGGTTATGCTCCACGTTTCCGTTCTGGCACTGCCCTCAAGCTCCTCAGTTAGAATTCAACTCTATGGCATTTTCTTACCCACTAGACTAGCAAAAATGGCAACAACTGCTCATAGCCAGTGTTGTGACAGTGTGGGGAGACAGTGACTCTCACACACTGCAGGGAAGGGGGGGGGGGTTGGTACATAATCAGATGCAACCTTTTCAGAGGTAAATGTGGCAATTAGTGCAAGCCCTCTGTCCCAGCCATCCCACTTGTAAGGAATCTACCAGAGAGAAATAGAAGTGCAGTCAGGTTTACTGCAGTCTTGCCGGTTGAGAGTAAAATATCACATGCGTCCTCGTGCAGTCAAGACAGAATACAATAGGATTGAAGATGGGGCACCTGGGTCACTCAATGGGTTAAGCGTCCAACTCTTGATTTCTGCTCACATCATGATCTCACGGTTCATGAGTTCAAGCCCCGAGTCGGGCCCTGTGCTGACGGCTGACAGTATGAAGCCTGTTTAGGATTCTCTCTGCCCCTCCCCTGCACTCTTGCTCTCTCTCAAAAATAAATAAACATTAAAAGAATAGGATACAGCTGTTAAAAAGAATCTGCTAGGTCCAAAAAGCTCTAAGACACACCATTAAGTGAAAAGCTTAAGTTGCAAAATGGCACATTGTAGTCTGGTCTCATTACAAAAAACATACTACACACCCGTAAAAGCAGAGAAGAGTCTAGAAGAACACACCTTAAACTGCTGACAATGGGGGGTGGGTGCTAATCTGTTACACTTTGTACACTTCAGTATTGTATTTCTTGTTACAATAAGCCAGTGTTACATTGGTGATTAGAACAAAAACAAGTTTTTAAAAAAGTATTATTAAAAGAATAAATCACTGCTCCTGTGACTCAGAGAACAACAATGTGCTTCCCCAGGGACTCTCCTCATATCGTGTCACATGCTGACGTCAGTAACGGGTAAGACAAGGAACTCCGTGACAGGTATATGGCACACCCCTGCAGCCAGCGGCCAGTGGAGCTCAGCAAGTGTACCTTCAACTGAGCAGAAGGCCACATCTGTGCACCTGGTGCAGGAGGGAGGGGACAAAGTCCACCATCAACCAGGACCAGGATGCCTCGGGGGGGGGGGGGGGGG